CACATCATCCCCGCGGCTGCTGATTTGGGAGAGCCCCCCCCTCAGGGAATGAGCGGCGGCTCCTCGTCTGCTCCGGGGCCCCGGGTTTAAAGGCCCCCCGCCGGTCTGTATTTGCCCCGCCGCCGGCCGAGAGGATGCTGTCCGAGCAAGCCCAGCGGTGGTTCCCCACCCACGTGCAGGTCACGGTGCTGCAAGCCAAAGCCCTGAAGCCCAAAGGCAAGAACGGCACCAACGACACGTACACCATCATCCAGCTGGGCAAGGAGAAGTACTCCACCTCGGTGGCCGAGAAGACGCTGGATCCGGTGTGGAAAGAAGAGGCCTCGTTTGAGCTGCCGGGATTACTGGTGCAAGGCAGCCCCGAGAAGTACATCCTCTGCCTGGTGGTCATGCACAGGTCGCTGGTGGGGCTGGACAAGTTTTTGGGGCAGGTGGCTATCAATTTGAACGCGATCTTTGAGGACAAGCAACGGAGGAAAACGGAGTAAGTGCCCTTTTCGTCTTGTTGGGCTGGCTCGTGTTGATCCGGCTCGGTGCCCCAAATTAAACTGAGCAGGTGCGTAACGCGCTGTCCTGCCGGCGGGACCCGGGTGCGGGCGTAGCTGCCCCGAAGTCAGCGGGGCTTTCGGAGATCTCCGCCTTTAAAAAACAAAACAAAACGTTATTTTTAATATACACTGCGAATGTTATATTTTTAATTTTTCTCCTGCTCCTGAATAGTGCCGTTGTTATCAAGGTGGGCGGCAAAGTTTGAACCGGGGTCGCAACTCGGATTCGTTCAAACTCCGTCATGCGTGTCGCATCGCTTTGCCTAATATAGCGTCTGCTTTGGATTCATTCAAACTTTGTCGTGTGTCGCATCACTTTGCCTAATATAGCGTCTGTTTTGGATTCGTTCAAACTGCATCGTGTGTGTCGCATCACTTTGAATAAATCTAGTACGGGCATTATATTAGGCAAGCTCCATCATGCGAGTTGCATCACTTTGCCTGATATAGTGTCCGTATTGGATTGGTTCAAACTTTGTCATGTGTACCATCACTTGGCCTAATACAGTGTTTGTATTGGATTAGTTCAAACTCCATCATGTGTGTAGCATCACTTTGCCTAATATAACGTCCGTATTGGAGTCATTCAAACTCTGTCGTGTGTAGCATCACTTTGAATAAATCTAGTACAGGCATTATATTAGGCAAGCTCCATCATGCGTGTCGCATCACTTTGCCTAATACAGTGTCCATATTGGAGTCGTTCGAACTCTGTCATGTGTGTTGCATCACTTTGAATAAATCTAGTATGGGCATTATATTAGGCAAGCTCCATCATGCGTATCGCATCACTTTGCCTAATACAGTGTCCGTTTTGGATTCGTTCAAACTTTGTCGTGTGTAGCATTACTTTGCCTATTATAACGTCCGTATTGGATTTGTTCAAACTCTGTCATGTGTGTTGCATCACTTTGAATAAATCTAGTACGGGCATTATATTAGGCAAGCTGCATCATGCGTATCGCATCACTTTGCCTAATACAGTGTCCGTTTTGGATTCGTTCAAACTTTGTCGTGTGTAGCATCACTTTGCCTAATATAGTCTCCATTTTGGATTCGTTCAAACTCCGTCATGTGTGTCGCATCACTTTGAATAAATCTAGTACGGGCATTATATTAGGCAAGCTCCATCATGCGTGTCACATCACTTTGCCTAATATAGTGTCTGTATTGGATTCGTTCAAACTCCATCATGTGTGTAGCATCACTTTGCCTAATATAACATCTGTATTGGGTTTGTTCAAACTCTGTCATATGTGTTTAAACTCCATCATGTTCAAACTCATATAGTGTCCATATTAACATGTGTTGCAAACAGCATGATTCTAGTTTGTCCAGGCTTATTCATTTGGTCGTCTTTGAACTCTTTGGTTCAAGCTTGCCGTGGTAGCCTCGTACTTTTCTGATGCTCAGTAGATCTTGGGTCTTAATCTTTCTTGCTACTTTACGCTGCTGGCCCATGCAGAGTAACTGGTAGAGAAGTTTCTGCTCTAGCAGGAACTTCCATGAGTTTTGTTAAATCAAATTGTGATTTTTTTTTTTTTTTCCCCCTAGCAAATTCTGAATGCCAAATGGAAATAATGGCTCGTTTAGGTTTATAAATAGCATTTTGTGCAGAAAGGGTGCTTAATCAAGCACAGCAATGTAAAGACTGATCAACACTCAGATCTTTGTTTTGTAATACTAATTTAAATTGTGCTGTTAGGGCTCTGTGTCTTTTTTTCCCCCTTTTTTACTAATTAACTGTTATGGTCCCTAATGTGGCCACAGTTACATTGGCATAAAGGTACCAGCATAGGTTATTCCTGTGCATTTATGTTAAAAACTTGTATACGTATGCAGAGCTTTATAGCAGAGTAGCTGTCCACATTAGAGTTGTATTGTTTTAACTGTACTGGCCCCAAACACAATATAGTTAAAGCTCTAAGTCACTACATTTTTAGACTAGAGGAATGCCTTGTTCGACTCAAGGCACCCCTCCATAACTTCTGAATTGAGCAGCATCCCATTTCAAAACCTGGTTAGATAGGGACCAACCTGAGCCTGCACTTACCTTCTCACACCTGCTTTTCTCCTTGCGGCATTCTTCAAAAGATCTTGCTGTACCCCAAGGTGCCCTGGCGCCCTGGTTGAAAATTACTGCTTTAAGTTAAAAATATGGTTTTGAAACTCTGGGCCTGCTTGCATGCTTTCTACTCCAATGAATCAATGGTAGGAGTGTGTTAGGGTGACATGGGTACTAAGATGCATGGTTAACAGCCCAGAGGTCTCAAGTTTGAGGCTGCTCATAGCATGGTCTGTCTGACGCCAATGAATCTGAGTTTTGCTAAATACCTTGTCACAAGGGCACAGGAAAGGAAATTTGCAAAAGCAAGGTGTAGCTTTATAGGTTGAATGTACTCTTTTTTTTTTTTTTTTTTTTTTTTTTTTTAACATAAACTATAACAAAAATTGTTCCTTGTCTCGACTGTCTTGACTTCCAAGGTTATACAAACTAAGGGAATTAACAGGGTTTTTATGATAACTGAATTAATCTTTAGGTCTTTTTCACTGTTTCTTTTTTGTGTATTTGTGGCTGTCACAAGTTTCCATATCCCCTATATCTTAGAGCTCTTACTGTCAAAGTCTGATGGAGAGACCCTTGTACTGCATTTCATAGCACGTGAGTGGCCTGCTGCAGTCCTGCAGAGTCTCACTGAAGTCAGAGCAGTTCCACAAGAGTACCAGAGTCCACTGCCATTTACCCATTTTAAGATTGGGTCTATGGGATAAATTATTGCCCCATTTTCGAAGTCACTTAGGTACCTAGGAGGCTCAGCTCTTTAAAAATCACTGAGACTTTGGCTTTTAGGTGCCCAAGGGCCAGATAGACTCCTAGGCGTATTTTTCAGTAGCCCCTAGGCATCTAACTCCCATTTGAAATCCGTGGGAAAAGGTACTTAGGTGTTTTTGAAAATCCTACTGTATACCTCTCTGCATCTTCAGGTGTTTTAACTGCATTGAAACATCTGGCAATAAACCATTTTTTGGAATAGGACTTATGCTTCCTATGAACATATGTGCTTTTGAAAATTTTACTCAGAATGTGTGCATACATGTTAATGCTGTTTCCTGTTACTCCTGATTTGGAGATCTGTGCATGTTTCAAAGAGGACAGATCTGTGCATGTGTGTGTGAGAGGTATGTAGATGTGTGTGTGTGTAATATGAATTTAGCCTTTCAAATAAAATAAGCGTTGTTTACATTCTTTTCTTTCTTGACTTTCCTTTTATTAAATGCCTGTCTTCATATAATATTCTGTTAACTTTGTAATTGCCACTTGACGTGGGTATGGTATTTTCAGACATGAACTTCAATTCCAGTTATGCCAGTGGGAACCAAAGCTGCCTAGTGTCTCAATATCAGGTCTATTGTTCTTAGCTGCGTAGAAACCTCATACCTAAATGCTATTTTCTTTGTTTCAGAAACACTAATCTGTTTTATTAAACAATGTTTCTGCTTTCAAATATGTTCAACAGGCTTGTGGTATTATTACATCCAGAGTGATTTTTCTTGTGTTGATGTAACCTTAACATTTCTTGCTTTGTTTGGGGATAAATGAGATCCAGTTATTTGATGAAGTGTCTATTGGTAATATTTCTACTTTTTAATATATTTAATAGCTTCCTCTTTCCAACACAGCTGTACATATGGTGCTGCAACAGACAGACTCAAGAGTCACTAGAGTATTACAAAAAAGATATTTAATATTCTGCACAATGCTGAACCTTGTCAGCAATTCCCCAGTGCTTTTTAGAAAATAGGTATGAGAAGTGAAGGCTACCAGCTGATTTTGAATTCCTAGGAAAACGGCAGGGTATGTGACATGCAGGTCCTATTTTATTAGACAGAAGTATGTTTACAGATTCTCTTCAGCTTCAAAAACACATTATGATAGGAAAAAATGGGCTTTTTTCATTAAGGATTTTTTTGTGTGCTGCCTGTGACACCTTAGGAAAAACATGCAAGTTTTTCAAAATACTCTAAGCAATAAAGTTTTCAAGCAGAGGCATGGCGATAGGGCTTGTGCATCATTCTGGCTCTAGACTTAAGAAAATAAAGCAACATAATTTGATGGAAAAAATCTTACCTAATATCACACAGTGTATTTTCTCTTTCTTTCCGCAACTGATGATTTTTCAAACTCATGAAAGTGTTAGTTATAGGAATGGCTGGATCCAAATATGACTGTCACTTTCCAACTTTATTTCAGACACCTCAGCCAATGCACCTGTAGTACTGTTATTTTAGCACTTTCTTGGTAAGAGAGTGCCAGTCGTGTAGTGGCAGCGTGATGATTTGTGTATTTGTCCTTTGGGACCTCTAATATGATCATCAACTCCTTTTACGTGTTCATTTTGAATCCACATCTCCACAGGTGAAAACCTAGAATATTGATCCACTGCATTGTCCAGGCTTCATATGCAAAGTTGTTGTTTTTATATTTTAATATTCTCACAGTATTGAAAAATGCTCAGATTTATTTAGAAGACATCTTTGGAATAGGGCTTGAAGGCCTCATTAAGATTTCTGCTATCCATATTAAAGGAGCTATTTTAGCAACTAGTAATTTTGTTTCTTTTTTCCATATGTATATACAATAAAATTTTAAAGCCAGGTGTACGTTCTTATCTATGCTTCTGTTTATCTATAGGTCACTTCTGCCCAAAAGCTTTTGGCACCCAACAAAGCATGACATAAATGCCGATAATTTGATGTTGCCATATTTTTGTACAGTAGTAACTTTTAAAAATGCATTTAGTTCTTACTCTTGTGTGCCGAATTGATAGAGCTGTCTAAGAATAAATTTTGACTCAGTTTTGCTCTTGATGTTACTTGTTCCGTTAGCAACTTCTTCTTTCTTGTCACCATCTACTTCCATGCCATTTATTACCAA